CGTAACAAAGTATTTGATTTTAATCCAAAGGATTATTGTTTCAGGACACCCTTGCCATCATCAATAACACTCCCGGCCCGAATAGTATAGCACCTTGGAAACATAGGATTGCTCTGGTAGTCTTCTCTACCTGGGCAAAGGTCATTTTCGCCCTGGGGACTTACCCGTTCTACCCACAGAATGATGCAGCTATTGCCGCAGCGCCTAAAATAGGTAAGGTCGATGATTTGTTAATATCGCTATGCACGTAGCTCATAATATGAACAACAATTACACACAAATACCCACATGTACGTACATTCAAACATACGTACATACATACATACATACATACATAATACATAAACACGCACACACACACACACGCACGCACATACGCACGAACGCAAGCACAAACGCTGTTTCACATATTTTGACATCGAATTGCTGCATCAAGACCCAGAGTATTTACATCAACATGCTTCCTGATGTTGATGACATACGCGGTCACGGTATGTGATCTTATACCAAAACCGTCTCAAAGAATTTAATTTTAATAAACACGTTCAAAAAAAGGCGCAGCGCTATGGGTTCATACTTTTGTATATCATGTATTTTCACAGGTGGCATGACGAATATACACCATGCTTTGGTGAAGTGTAATGGTCAGCTTGGTTCCTCTGGCAAACGCCTAGTCTGGATGACCACTGATGGATATCACAATATGTGGGGTAACCCGGTGGCCAAGGCAAATGCCATGAAGAGGAAAGGTATGTACTTCCGCTACGTCAAAGCCAGATTACCGCAAATAATTAAAATTGTTTAATATAATTTTTCAGTTGAGACAACAGAGCTTCATTCACGTTGAACAGTTCCATGAGCTACAGTATATTATTTTAGAAAATTGAAACTGAATTTTGTCAATAGCTACCAGTATAGAAAATAATTCGCCGATATTTACTAGCTAGTATTCCGTATGTTGACAGTCAGCATCAAGTCTAACGGTTAGCAGACAAAATATTAGCAAGTAAACCTTACCTATCATGTGTATTCACGATCAAACCCTTATTTGTTTCATTGAATTTCAAAAACGTGTTCTATTCCATTTTTCCTACTGATTACTGTATATAAGTTAAGCTACTATTTTTCCATTTCAGGAACAATTATTTGTATCGTTGCTATTGGCAACAGTGTCAACATGAGAAGGATAAATGGCATGGCATCGAGGATCAAGAGAAAGCCCTGTGTTCTTAGGTATAAAACCTATAGAGCCCACATGATTAGCACGTTTTACGCCCGAAGGAGAGTGATACCATGGGAAAGAACCAGCTTAAGCCAGCGTCTTGCAAGTTTGTAAAGTTTATGTTCGTCCACTGTTTGCAACTCTTCAATTGAATATCTTGATTTGAATATCTTGATTTCAGCCAGAATGACTTCTCTCTCAATAATTTTTTACCAATTTACATTTGGATAGTTCCGAAAATGCAACATCCAATTTGATGGAAAAATGGACATGAAAGAAGCATAATTGTTCTTAAATAATTATTGTGTTTATAAATAGATACTAATTAATTAAGAAAAAAATAAAATTTGTAATGATAATTGTCGCTGAATCTGTCCTTATGGCACTGGCATTTGGTACTTCTCTAAATTTAGATTATGGAAACTCATTTTGTCTGTGCAATCAGAGGAAATAAACGATTTCAAATGCTGATTTACTGTTTCTCCCTTTTTTATTAATTGGACTGGTTTTTAATGTGTGTGTGTGTGTGTGTGTGTGTATTTGGAAGGGTGGCGGACTAACTAGCTTCAAGCTTGACTGCATGGCATATATACCAGTAGATAGGTATTTAGTATAATACCTAGTGCCCGCCACACCGATGTTACCCTGTACACCCTGCCCATGGAATCTGGATCCGAAGGATAAAATATTGGTTGGATAGGTGCTTCTTTAATAAGAAAAAACATCAGCAGCGCTAATAATGATAATGTAGTAATAATATAATAATGAAAATGATGATGGTGATATGTCAATAGTGCTAAGACGAATGTGTAGCTTTTTTTTTCAAAAACAAGTTACACATTCGTCTCAGCACTATTGACATATAGAATTTTAAATTACAAAGATGAATAAAAAAACTTATGTATAAAAGTAACACAATTTAAAATGGCATAAATCAAATCAAATAGTATTGAAGTAAATACTGTTTTTTAATATCTCAATACTATGATATCAGCCATTTAGAGAAATATTCGGATTGTTAATAAGATTATGGGCCATAAAAGCGATGCTGCAGTGTCGAAACCATAATATGGATATGTTTCAAGAGTGTTATCTGCTTGTTTTAGCTGTATAAGTTTGATTTGCCAACTAAATCTAGGTGTTCTAACGGGACTTGCTAGTTGTAAATTAAGGTAGAATGACCAGTCGTCCTTTAAAAATTTCAAAAGCCTTGAGCCGAATTTTATAAACTATCCTTTGAGATACAGGTAAACAACAAGGACCACAAAGATCAGATTTGAATATTTTTAACGCAGACATGGAGCAGAATTTAGAGATTATTGATTTTTTTTCATTTGATAGTAATGGTGCTCAAAAACCAACAAATTTAAGGTATTGCCCCCAGAACAGCTGCCAGATATGATGCGTCCGTGCTGTCAGATTATACATAAGGCTTGTAAGGCCAACATTTTGAACATATATCATAATCAAAATTCATATATGTTCAATGACCACGCCAAGTTGGGTTTTTCAAATGTTATTTTTTACACGATTGTTTTGCTTGTTCTGAAAATCTCCCATTAAGCACAAGTTTACATCTTTGTTAGCTAAATAACTAAGATATATTACTTTTTATTTCGTCAATTTTGGAAAGTCCACTTTGCAGTTGTTATTGCAAGGCCATTTAAAATTACTTTTTGATTGTGAAATCAAGTAATCAACCAGAACCTCATGGAGTTGATTTTCTGGTCTTGCCTAATATAGAATAAAAGAAAAAATTCGCACTTTTTCATTCAATGGCCACCTAAAAATAATACTCAAACTCCATGCCTGTCTAGCTTTTATTTAGTTGAAATATTTTAATGAACGATTAATGGAGTCGTAACCATTTGACTTTAAAATAGGAAAAATAATATTTGACGATTCCCAGAAAACGGTATTAAGTAACCCAACTTGCGCCAAGCACTGTGAGATGAAAGCTGTCAGGATCTCAAGGTCTCAGGTTGTACTGTGAGGTGAAGCACGTTCCATTGGTTAGAATGATGTGTGTGTGTGTGTGTGTGTGTGGGGGGGGGGGGGACATGATGTTACATACTATGATATTGTAAATTTCCCATGTAGCAGCAGGCAGGAAGATCGTATACTCTTTTGGTGTACAATCGTTGCCAGAGTATAGCTGTCCATTTCCAAACCCTGTACCGTATCTGACACAACGCACATCTCTATATTCTGCATACGTTGTAACATTATTGAAAACAGTTCATGGGAAGCTATATCGTACGTATTTTCAACTGTTTTTTTTCTACAACCAGCATTTACAAGTACAATATGGGCAAGCGCTTAAGATTTGTATAAAAAGCTTTCAGACAAAATTTGAATATTACTCCTATCATATGCAAGCACTCAGGTATTTTCACTGGAAGAAAGTTTGTACTGTTTAAGAAAACGCCAACACAAGCCATTATACATTTGAAAATCACAATGAATTATATGCATGGATTCTAGCTAAGACCAAGTAAACAAGTTTTATGGATCCTAAGGTGGAGAAAAACAATCTATTTTCTGATACACGATTATGTTTAATTCAGGACTTTGTTACATAAGCATGTGCTTATGTGAGTGTTCTGTGTGCAAGTTTAAAAAGATGAAGATAGAAATGAGATGGCTATTAACCAGAGGAGAAGTTTTGACAATAACTGCAGTAGTGGCGGACTTGTTATAACTATGTTATAATAATAATAATAATAATAATAATAATAATAATAATAATAATAATAATAATAATAAAAGTTGTAATAATAATAAAAGGGGCGGATCTAGGAATATTTGCGGAGGGGGGGGGGCAGATGCGAAGCCGACCCCCCCCCCTCCCCCCTTGGCGTGGGGTTCGGAGAAGGGCCCCCCAAAAATCTGATGTTTTTGAGGGGGAAGGGTGCCATTTAGTACGGTTTAGAACTATGATTCAGCTAGAAAAAAATTCTTATTTCAAGAGGGGACCATTGGTGTGATTGTTTTTAGAATTTGAATGGGGTCAGGACCTCCCTGACCTTAAATCTGCCACTGATCATCGTAAAAGGTGAAAAAACTGATTTCGTTTACTTTGATTAAATTTTGTGATGTGTATGATAAATAAATAAAGCTAATTTGTCATTCATCATTCCACGTTAACAGGTGTCAACAGGCGCAATGTCTAAAAGGTATACCAAAATAACTCATTTGCAAAAATAACATCCAGAGTCTGATAAAACGATTGGTCCATACAGGGAAGTAAATAATAAGTAATGCTAAGTACGTGAAGGTGCAAATTAGGGACCATTCCCAGACCCCATCGGACTAACTGTGGATCGATCTATATCCCAGTGGATTCTAGCTAAATTGCAATCAACTGAAGCGGCTTAGATGTCTGTCACGTCTACTAAATCTGCCAGGGAGTAATTAATTATCGTTTAGCAGCTTCAGTAGGCGCGCAAGACATTTAAGTCGCATTTAAACTGAGAGCAGCTTAGTAAGAAACCCCTTGGAGATTAATCGATCCTCTTAGATCGATCTAGGTATGGGAACCTAGGCTGTATTCCCAGAGCTTTTAGATCGATCTATCCCCGCGGGGAGTCTCACTAGATTACTGTCAGAGAATCCGGCTTAAGTGTCCGTCCCGCCTACTACAAGCTGTAAGGGGGTAATTAACTTTCGTGTCCGCTCGGCTGACAGCTATTTAGCTTGAACCCCCAGGGAGTTAGGTCGATCTAAAGTAGATCGATCTAATCTCTGGAAATGGGGTCCTAGTCTTAGTGTTATGTATAAATAGCTATTTGGACGCCCAGCTCTCAGTATAACAACCCTAGCAGGCCCTCTTCTATCATCTGCACGTGGACCTAGTTCCTTCCTTTACTGAAGATGAAGTTAGTCTCGCTGGCACTGCTGGTTGCTGTTGGAATGGTCTTCAACGGTCAAGGCTTCGTGGCTCTCGAACCAGACCAGATCATCAGAAGTCTGATATACGGTCCCACAGGTTTGGTGGGCAGTCCTCGTTACTGGAAAGTGATGTTTGCTCTACATAGCGGCATTAGCGATAACGAGTGGGTGGTGTCCAAATTAGCAGCCCGGGTGAGATACACTGACTATCATAGAGATAATATACATGGCTCAAGGCACAGTATATGTTTTCTTTCATGATTATCACGTTTAGATATAGAAAAGCTAAAAAATAGATACAATATACAATTTTAAATAGAAAATGTAGTCTCATTAATCTGATTAATTGGCATGATTGAGTTTGTCTGAAAATTAATAAAATGACCAAAGCATGCCTTTAGAAAAGTTTGACAACGACTCATTTATTTCAACTATGATTCATTTTCTTTCTAATAATTTTGAAATCCGAAACAAAACATTTGATTTAATTAAGTTCAAATGTTTCAGGACATCCTTGCCATTTTCGACGCCATGCCTGGTCCGTCAAGTATTTCCCTCTCAAGACATAGGATTGGTCTAGTAAGATTCTCTACCTGGGCACATGTCATTATCCCCCTGGGGACTTACATTTTCTACCCAGCCAATGATGCAGCTATTGCCGCCGTGCCGAAAGGACCTGGTAGGGTTGACAGTTATAACACACTAACTTATATTCATACACCCAATGGGACTCACATTCGTACAAGCAAAGCACACGCACACACACACACACACACACACACACACGAATGCATGTTTCGTCAAGATTTACTTTATGAAAAGCCAGTCAACCAGTAAAAGGGTTGAGCAAATTGTCTTCATATGTGCAACATACTGTTGTAGTGCAGTATGCGAATTCCACGTTTTAAATTTGCTTTTAAAATTCATGATACTAGTAGGTAATTATATCGTGAAGATCAATTAATTCACAGCTACTCTGTGGGTTTATACGTCAAGTCTTTTTTTACTATATTCACAGGAGGTGGGGCTAATATAAACCTTGCTTTAGAGCTGTGTTCTGGTCAGCTTGGTTTCTATGGCAACCGCCTAGTCTGGATGACCACTGATGGGTACTATACCAATGGGATAGACCCGAGGCCCACGGCTTCAGCCATGAAGCAGAAAGGTAGGTACTGGTGTAACAGGAATGGAAGTCCTAAAAATGGAAGTCCGAGCTCCAATATGGTTAGTGCGGGTTAGGGTTAGTTGGAGTATTGGTGTCAGTAATATGGGACGAATGTCACCTGTAGGCCTGCAAAGTAATGGAGAACGGACTACGGTTCCTAGCGGACTTCCATTCTTGTTAAATTGGTACACTGTACTAGCTGTCACAACTTCAACGAATGCTGTCGATTAAAGAAGCAAGTTGGGGAAACAGAAATTAATTTATCTGAAAGTAATTTTGTACTTTATCTTGTTTATCACTGCATATACGGCAAACTATCGCGTTCCTTTTCCAGGAAATATCATCTGTATCGTTGTCATTGGCGACGACGCCAACATGGCTGTGATCAACGGCATGGCGTCCTGGATTAGAGTCCCTCCATTTTTCTTCGGGAAATGTGTCCTTAGATACAGTACCTACGCCGATTACAGGGCTGCCACGTACGCTGCCCGCCGTAGATTGCCACCATCTTAGCATCACTCCTTGGGCTAGCCTGTTCCCTAAATCTGCAGATAGGAGTCTACAAGCGGAGCTTACAAGTTTATTACCGTTCGGTCTTGACATTTATTGCTAAAATTCTGCATCGTGGCGAAACAAGTATTTGCCGCCATCACTAAAATTTGACTAAAATACATCTCTATGTACTTGATAATTCATGCGGACGTATTTGAAGGTAGCAGTACATTTAAAGGTACATACGAACCGAGCATCGGTGGAGCGTGGATTCCCTGTAACACATGTAAACCACTTCTACTAGTTTCTTATACGACTCTAATAAATTCGACATGCCGAGGGATAAACTGAATAAATCACCCGATCAGCCATAAAAGAGCTTTAGAGTGCTCCTTTCTTTAAATTTATGGTTGTCAATTTAACCTACTTTCGTGACCTACTTTTCTGCCCCATTGACATACAGCATAGAATGCAGCAGAAAAATCTGTTCAAACATCACTTTCGGGTAAAAATAAACAATGCCTTTTGGTAATTCTCTTAGTTATACTACTTGAAACTATATGCTGGCATTTGGTTGGTTTTTATGACAAAAATTGACTTTGTATGTATCTTTAAACCGAGCGTCGGTGGAACGCATATAAATCACTTATAGTAGTTTTTTTTTATACAACTGCAATAAATTTGACACGTCAAGGGATAAAACGAATTAATCAGCAGTCGACCCTTCAGTGACCCTTCTTCATTTCTTAGTTGACCTACATCTCTACTGATTATTCATGCGGACGTTTTTAAAGGTACTAGTGCATTTGAATCGAGCGTCGGTGGAACGCATATAAACCACTTCCTGCAATAAAGAGATTTAAACTGAACTGTCTTCAATTTTTTAAATTGACCTGCTCATCTCGATTACTCATCTGCCCCGTATATATACAGCACAGGAAGAAAAGCAGAGGAATCCGTTCAAATATCATTTTTCGGGGAATATACAATTTTTTTTTTTTTTGGTATTTCTCTCAGATTGACCAATTGAAAGTAATAATAAAAATATTTCATTCATATGTATCCCTGGGCTTTATTTTTTCTCGCGAAAATGCACAGAAGAACGGTTTTCGGGATTGCAAACAAAAAACTTTGCAAAAAATTTGTTCCATGCAATAATCGTCACTAAGGGCGATTCAGTACTATTTAGACAGTGAAGTAATACTTTATTCTGAGCATCGAAAATAAATGAACTATTCCAAATGTTGTTTTACTTTCTCTTCTTGTTCATTAAGGTGGCTTGTTTTTAATATACGTAAAATTGGACGTAAAATCTGAACAGTTGCCAGGGGAAACACATTGAGCCCCGTAACTCACCTTAGCTTTGAAAGTACCCCTTCTCCATTTCTATAACTATAACGATTATATATTATTATTAATCATAATTATAATTTGAGCTACTTAAACATGTACATTAATCTCCATACAATCTCACATACTTGTTATCTGCTTGTCGCAAAAATGATTGACTGCTATTTCCCGTGTCTGCAAAACCAGTTATTTTTTTCTGTGGACCACATGTTGCTAAATTCTATTTTTGTTAGACCCACTTTTTGTAAATTGTAATTATCAGAATATCAATGCCGTAGTAACGTTGGCGATTTAAAACTTTTATCGTCTGAAAAGGCCCCATCCTTTTTTGTCAGTCAAATATTCAATATTCCCTTATTGCAATGTACCTCTTTAAGCACTAATTCACATCTTTAATGGCTAAATAGCTCATCTATTACGCGTTACATGTCAAACAAAGTGGCGGATTCAGAAGGGTAGGTCAGGGGGGTCCTGACCCCCCTCAAATTCTGCAAGAAAAGAATTGTCCCCTCTTGATATTATTTTTTTTCATAATTTTGACTAGAGGAATCATAGTTATAAACCGTACAAAATGGCACCATTTGTCCTTAAGCGAACCCCGAACCCCATGCCAAGGGTCGGCTTCACATCCGCGGTCCCCCTTCAAATACTATTAGATCCGCCCCTGCAACACTGTTTGATTGTGAAACAGCCAATCAACCAGAATCTCATGGTGTTGACTTTTTGCATCTTGCCTAAAAAATAAAGAATAAAAAATTTTGCACTTTTAAATCCCATTTTCACCTTTAAAAAATCTTTGACTGTCTAGCTTTTATTTAATCGGATTTACTTTAAATCTTTATATTTGCGATTATTGGAATCGTACTCATTTAACTTTTAAATATCTCAATGTGTCTCTGTTTAATGATTTCTCAGAATTTGGTATTAACTAACCTGACTTGTACCAAGTGATGTGAGGTAAATGCTTCACAGTGACCTCAAGGCCTCATGGGTTGTACTGCACGGTACGATGCAGGTAGAGCTGAAATATTTTAGATACCATTCCCAGACCCTATCGTTCTAACTGTGGGTCGATCTATCTCCAAGGGGATTCTCGCTAGATTGCAATCAACTTAAGAGGATTAGATGTCTGTCACGCCTACTGAAGCTGCTGGGGGTAATTAATTATCGTTAGGCAGCTTCTGTAAGCCGCTTAAGCTGAAAGCAATTTGGCAAGAAACCCCTTGGAGATGGATCGATCCTGTTAGTCCATTTCTAAACCAAAATACTGACTCAACACTATATTCTACGCACATTGTAATATTGTTGAAAACAGAAACTGAAATTAAGTGGATATCCTCTACTGATTATGCTACTCATCTAAGGCCCCATTCAGAATGGGGACTAACTTGTCCGAGGGTCAAATATGTCCGACCCACTTGAATACTTCCCCAAGGGATATCTATCCAGTGTCTGTTAGCAGATTAGACGGTAAGCTTTGTAGTGGGTCGCCATATTTGACCGTCGGACTAGTTAGTCCCCTATTCTAAATGGGGTCTGACATGTACCATATGCGTATACGTGTACTTTTATGATCAAAGTATGAATATCAATCGAAGGTTTTGAAAACAGGGCATTGTAGCACATGGTATACAGAAAACCATACCGTTTGATGATCCCATATCATACACACATAACCAGAGGTTTTTCAATGAAAGAAAATGATATGTTTACTTGTTAAGGATACGACAGCCCGGAACATTATACTGTACATTTAGAGATCAGAATGAATAATATTTATGAGTTCTAGGTAAGACTCATTAAACAAGTTTTATGGACCCTGCCTGAGTGTTTTGTGTCAATAAAGTGAAGGTGGCAATTATATATTTATATATATACATCGGTAAAGATTTTTCTGTAACAACATTAACATCACAATATTGGTTGGTTTATTGTTGTCATTGTAATAATAATAATAATAATTATATTAATAATATTATTTGTTATTATTATTATTTTCTTTTGTGTGTCATTAAAGACGCCTATACGGAAAAATCAAAGTATTTCGCTGTTTTAACGTCCACATGAAGTTCCTACCATAGCCCTGCCTCTACTGCAAAATTTATTGCACATATCTCTGTTCCCATCCGGGAACAAACATCTTACAAAAGATAAACATCTTTAAAAAATAGTCCATGTTTCACAAACCTGTAAATAGTATATTTATGCATTGTTTGAAGTGAAGTTATTAATTAGAATTCATGTTTGCGGATTATTCATCATTCAATACTAACAGGTGTAAACAGTAGCAGTATCTTAAAGGAATACCTGATGATTGTCTGGTAACACTATTACAGTATTGTACGTTATCCGCATTACGCTGGGCTAGATTCCAGTCCTAAAAATAGTTTTAAAATAACACACAGTCTTACAAAACGATTGGTCCATACAGGGAAATGAATTGTAATAAATGCTAAGTTTGTGCGAGTGAGTACAAGTTATAGTGTTTTGTATAAATATCTACTTGGGCGTCCTTATCTCTATAAAACAACCGTGGTAACTCTACCATCTGCACGTGGACCAAGTTCCTGTCGTCACTGAAGATGAAGTTAGCCGCGCTGGTGCTGTTGGTTGCTGTGGGAATGGCCCTCACTGCTCTGGGGCTCGAACCTCTCACGCATTACGGGCTCACCAAAAAACTGATGTGGAGTTCTTCTAAGTACTGGAAAGTGTGTATTGCTTTAGACAGCAGTAAGAGCATTAGTAAATCCGAGTGGTTGCGATCCAGAAAAACTGCAAAGGTGAGTAACAAACACGGACAGGCCTACCCAACTGCCAGACTCGGCATCCAAGGATCAAAAATCCACGGTAGATCGAATCATGCTACCCGTTTTCAAGGTGTGTAACAGTACGCGATTCCAGATGTCAGACGGGGCAGCTTCTTGCCTGGCACGCGATGTGATAGCGATGATCCTGAGCGGGGTTGGAAAGTAGTGCATCTCATTAAGATTCATGCGCTACTGTTTTTTCCCTGTTTTATGTAATAAATCGAACAATACCGTGATTGATTTTAAACATAAAGTGCAGGCTTGAACATAGCCAACGATATGCAGTAGTAAGTATGTTTTAAGTCTTGCGAAAATGCAAATAGATAAGTGTATCCTAGCTAAGATACAAAATCGTCATAACAATTAACATATAATCATTTGTTTTACTGTTAACAAATAATGAATCAAACGTAGCTTACTGAATTTATTCGTTTTTTTTTTCGCCGGCTACACCTGTTGCCATATTTTTGTATTTCTACAACTCCTACTTGACAAAAAACGAGGCGCGATACCCGAATGACAGGTTGAGCTCCCGGCCGTCGTACAAAATTTGTCCCGGGGTATGATACTGTGAAATGCGTACTAATACACAAGTTGAAAACGGATAGCATGACCCGATCTACCGGTTAATTCAGATAACCGGGTAATTCGTATTTGGGTCAGAATTTAAAATTTGCGAATTGATTCCAATCACTGGCTTTCAATACAATTTATTTATATCAAATAATTAAAATTGATTTAGATAGCATAGTCATGTCAAATAGAAAAACAAGTATACAAACCAATAACTTGGCAAGAATGAATTGCATGCCTTTGAGATAGGGATATTCGATATGTTGCGAATAGGCCTACCTAAATTACTAA